CTTTCTTCTGCAATCTCTCTCTCAAATAAATAAAATCTTAAAAGCAACAACAACCCACAAAGATACCATCCCCGTACTGAGTACATATTTTCCTGTCCTCACCCGCACCCCCATTCCTATTCATATGTTTGCTGAGCACCTCCCATATGCCATAAACAGGTCTACGTGCTAGGGATGCAGCTGTGAGCAAGCCAGACAAAGATCCTTCCCTTCATGGAGCATACATCCCAATGGCAGACAGGGACCACAGGCAAGATAAACAAGTATAATATATACTATCTGAGATGGTGATCAATGCTATGGAGAAAGAGAAAACAGGGAAGGAGGCTAGGGAATGTGGAGGAGGGGAGGAAAGGAGGTTAACATTTAACCAGGTGGCCACCTTGAGAAGGTGACAGGTGGCACTGTCTCAACGTTCAGCCACTCAGTTTCATTCAGAGAATGAAGGCCATAGAAACGGACTCACCGCAAAATGAAATTTTGTCATTCCACTCTCAATATGCTTAAGACCCTAAAAACAATTAGGTGTGGCAAAAACTGTATGTCACCCAAGTCTATTCCTTTACAGTGCTCTGCTTTAACAATTTTTTTTTTAATTTTTTTTTTTTTAAGATTTTATTTATTTGTCAGAGAGAGAGAGGGAGAGAGAGCGAGCACAGGCAGACAGAATGGCAGGCAGAGGCAGAGGGAGAAGCAGGCTCCCTGACGAGCAAGGAGCCCGATGTGGGACTCGATCCCAGGACGCTGGGATTATGACCTGAGCTGAAGGCAGCTGCTTAACCAACTGAGCCACCCAGGCGTCCCTAACAAATGTTTTCAGTGCTGAAAATGAACAATGAAGGACTGGTTTTAAAGCTTTGAGACCTGACTTCCAAACCTATCATCTTTCAGCTCAAGCCCACAGAGATGGTAACCCTGGGAAAAAAGTCACTAAGGCGGGTGTTCTGGCTGCTGATGGACTCTGGGCATTCTGGACTCAACCAGCTTCTTACCTTAATGAGAAAAGGTCTCCCAGCTTTGGGGAGACCCTCTTAATGGAGGTTAGAGGTCAAGCCCAAGGCTAAAGACCCAAAAAAACATGAGGCTTGAAAGTCTAAAACCACAGCAAAGCCACTCCTCAGCAATATTAAATAACGAGACAATCCAAGAACGAGGGGTTGGGAATGGGAAGGAGGCCACAGCATGTATGACAGGGGCTCTCCAAGAGTCTACACAACTTAACAGGCACAAGCCTATAAAATGAGAATTGCAATGTCACATACCTAAGGGATTTGTGAGGCTAAATCAGGTCAATACCGGGGCACCTACGTGGCTCAGTCAGTCAAGCGTCTGCCTTTGGCTCAGGTCATGGTCCTGGAATCCCGGGATCAAGCCCCAAGTCGGGTTCCCTGCTCAACGAGGAGTCTGCTTCTCCCTCTGAGCCTCCCCACTCTTGTGCTCTCTCTCACTCTCTCAAATAAATAAAATGAAAAAAATAAATAAATAAATAAAACAGGTCAGTACGTACAAAGCCCTCAGCAGTGCCCAGCCCACCAAGTGGCCTATTGCTATAGGCTGGCCACTATGACAACAGGGAGAGTGGTTACCACCAGCACCTCCTCGCTGTTCCCCAACCCCAAGCCTCTAGAGGCCCTGAAGCACTATGGTGGTGCCTGTTGAAATGTAAGTCAGATCTCAGAATTCCTGCTCAAAACTCTAGCAGCTCCCACCTCCCACCTCACTCAGAGTAAAAGCCAGGGTTCTCACCTTGACCTGGAAGCCCCCTCCATTCTCCTCTGACCTCATAACCCACTGCCCCGCTCATTGCTCACTCAGCTTCCCTGCTGTTTCTCAAACAAGCCAGGGATGCTCCGACTCTTCACTCTCTTAGGCCTGGAAGGCTCTTTCCCTAGACAATGTCACTCTGGTGGCTGGCTGGGCGGTAGCAAAGAAACCAGAGAGTAGTTAATCCTATCACTGGCCAGACTTCTCCCTATCCTGCCAGACTGATAGGAGGATGGACAGGAGATCATTTGGAAAGTGCTTTGAATTTCCTAGGAATCAAATAATCCTAACAAGTCAATGCAATATTCATCCATTCACTGAACATTTACTCGGCACCTATGTGCCGGACATTTCACTAAGTGCTAGAGACACAGTTAAGAGAAGTCCTCCCCAAGGATTAAGAGCCGTTTACTTAGAAGACAGCCAAGTGAACAATGACAAACCCTACGAGCAGTGCCACAGGACACTGAGGAGGTTCAGGCCTACAAGGTGAGAGAGATAACCAGATGGGAAGCTCCAAGCAGTGGTCCAGCAAAGAAAGAGTCATGTGTGACAGAAAATAGTGTTCAGGCAGAGGACAGCACAAAGCAAAGACACAGAGGTAGAAAGAGTTGGGGTTTGCAGAAGTGGCAAGCAGCTGAGTTTGACTGGAGGTTGGGAAAAGATGGAAGTGGGGAGTAGGAGAGATAAGGCAGGAGAGCCAGGCAGGAGTCACCCCAAAAGGCCTTGCAGGCCATGATAAGGAATGTGAATTTTAGCCTGAGGGCAATAAGGAGTCACTGATGGATATTCAAGCAGGATTATTTTTTTAAAGGATTCCCCAAGTGCTCACGTGATATTTTCTCTCTGGTGTTATTTGTTCCTTCTCTGTGTGAAGAGGAAAAAACAAAACACTAAAACCATTTCTGGGCATGTATCGTAACAGACAGAAGAAACCTGTTCAGAAAAAGAAACATCTACATGTAACAGATGCCCTCTCAAGCTTTTATTATTATAGCAAAATACAGAACCCATACCTAAGCCATGTTTGCTCATTGTCAGCATGTCAGGTTCTGGTGCCAGGCATGGAGGTTTTCTGGGAAGTGAGCAGTCAAGACACGCAACAATTTCAGATGATGACCAGAAATACATGAAAGTCCAAGCCCAAAGCCAGTAGGACCAACAGATTAAACTTGTTCTGAAACACTTTTGGGAAGTGAAACGAGAAGGGTGGGAGCAGTGCTGTGTATGTAAAGTCTCTGTTTGCAGAAGGAAGTAATACCCCACAAACCAGCGTGGACAGCCTTCCTCAGAGGCTCCCGGAGGCATCAACTGCCTAGGGTCAAGGCACCCAACCACAATAACAGCCTCTGCACAAATTTCCTTATCTAATCCCCACACACACCAGTGTTGGGGGGGATGGGGAGGAGGTGGGGGGTCAGTATTATTTTAGAGCTGAAGGACACCAAGCTTAAGTAAGTTGTCCAGGTAGGTGCTGAGCTGGGGTCAGAACCCAGGGCTGACTGGTGGGGAGTCCGGCAGTGCTTTCTCCACTACATCTCTTGAGCCCTTCAGGCCACGCAGGACGAAGCCTCTGCTCAACCTGTCCTCAATAGATAACCTCTCCACAACCTCTGAGGGATCTGATTCTTTGAGAACTACTGAGGCTACTCTTTATGACAGTTTCTAAGCGGCTGGAGGAGGCTGGTGGGCTCAACTTAGGACAGGGAGCCAGATGCTCTGAGTTTTGCTCATGTTCCCACCATCTGTCTGACAAGTCACTTCATCTCAAATCCTCCCTTGGAAGAATGGGGATAAGGTGACAATATTAAGTTTCTGTGAATTCAATGGAACTAGGAGAAGAGATCACAGAGTTTTAAAAAAGGTACTATGGTAATATTTATATCACAGCTTTCTTCAGAAGCATGTGAAAACCTTCATGGGTTCATTAAGGCTTGTAACATCCAGGACTGGATAGGAAGGCAGCACGTCTTCCTCCTGCTGCTACCAGGGAAACTGAGGAAGAATTGGAGCAAGTGAATGTCTGCAAAGGAATAAGGCTCAGACTCACAGAGTCTAGTCCTCCAGCCATCAAATGACTTCACCATCTTCCAAGCGAGATGTGCACTCCCCATCCAAGAAGCCAAGGGACCTGTACTTTTCTGAGACAGAGACCCTTCCCTTGAGAACGTTCTTCAAGAACCTAGGGCCAAAAGATCCCCTAGGGGCCATGTGCTTCCTCTCTTTATTCCAAAAGGAATGCAGTTCAACCACTCTTAAGAGAGGGTCTGAATATTCTTAAATTAGCTTCATGAATAGCCTGTTTTGTGTCTCACAGTTCTCAATACTCAGGAAAAACTTCCACTTTTGCCCTGAAAGGTAATTACTTCTAACAATAGCCTGCAGGATTGTTTCACCCTAACCATGTGAATTAAATGGCCCTTATGAGGAGCAGATGGCAAAGTAATAAGGCTACGTCTTTACATAGCTTTGAATAAATACAACAGCAGCTAAAGAAATCTTAACAGTCCCTACACCCCAACCTTGCTCCAACCTCTTCTGTCTCTGCACTTTGCAGGCCCCTGAAAGCCTAGGTAAGAACCCTGGCTCTGCCTATATCACAGGACTGACCTTACCTAATGCGTGATTCAACCTCTCTGTGCTTGGATTCCTTGCAGATAAAATAGGGTATCAACAACAGCTACCCCGCAAGGGTTGTTGTGAAGTTTACATATGGCACTGTACCTGCGGTGTTTGGCAGTGTCTAGCACACAGTAGGAGCTCAATAACTAGTAGCTAGCATTTCGTCAGTATTTTTAGCATGATCACAGGTGTCCCCAGATAACCTGTCCATGAAACGCGGGACGGAGAGACCAAGCCCAAGCCTACCGCGGGGCAGGCGCAAAGGGCCGGTTCTTGATTTTTTTTTTTCTTTTCTTTTCTTTTTGAACCTTGGCAAAGAGATAAGGCCCCGAATGACTGGGAGGCCTCGGCATGTGAAGGGGGAAACCAGGACGGGGAGAGGAGTTTCCCCCCTGGAGCGGGGCGTACTCCGCAGGGCCTAAGTCTGGGAGTCTCTTCGGAGGACGCCCCAAGAGGGACTGCGGGCTGGGGTGGCTGGGATTCAGGCCGGCGGCCAAGTGGGCACGAATGAATGAACCCGCAGTCCTCCTCTCACGTCGTGGCTTGGAAAACCACTCACGCCCCTCTAGCGCCGCGTCCTCTCTGTGACCTCTGACCCCACAAACCTCCCTCACCTCAGACCACCGCCTCCCGGCCCCACTCCTTCTCCTGCCTCGCCGGACTCCCCGCTTCCTCACCCACAGGTCCGGACGGCTCCCGGCGCCACGGCACGGCTCGGCTCCTCAGCAAAACGTCCGCGGCCTCGTCCTCCCGCTCCCTCGGTGCGTCCGTGCCGCCGGCCGCTTGGAGCCCCGCGACTGTCACCTGCCGGGCGGAAGTGAGCTGCCCGCGCCCGGGCACTTCCGGTGGACGCACGGCCTGGGGGCGGGGTCAAGGGTGCAAGCCGGGCGGGGGTGGTGCCCGCGGGGCGGGGCCAGGAAGGGGCGGACCAAAACGGAATTAACCCCTCCCCAGCCGCGGCGTACCCCGCCGCTGCGTCCTGCAGAGCGCTAAAAAATTTGCTAAGTAATTTAAGTAATTTAAGATGATGACTTTAAAGGCCATCTCTTCCTTCTGTGTTACAGACGGGAAAACTGAGACTCTGAGAAAGGCAAGGTTTTGCTCAAGATCACTTAATCACTTACCTTATGAATGTTAGAGTCAAAACCAGAACTATAAATCCAGTCTAGCACTTGATGCCCTTTGGAAATTCTGACTGGAAGGGTTAAACCCAAGTGGCTGCAAGGAACTTTGATCCAAGAGGAACTTCATAATATCCCATTTTCCTTTTGCTGGGTCTGCCAGGACGTCTTTGATTCCTGTAATCCCCTCACTCCCGACTCTGGTACTATTAACTTTCTCCTTATAGATAATTTCTGATCATTCCCCCTTAAAACAGTACTTCGTCACTGCTCTTTAAAAATGTCTTACTGGGGGCACCTGGGTGGCTCAGTGGGTTAAAGCCTCTGCCTTCAGCTCCGGTCATGATCCCAGGGTCCTGGAATCTAGCCCCACATCGGGCTCTCTGCTCAGCAGGGAGCCTGCTTCCTCCTCTCTTTCTGCCTGCCTCTCCCCCTACTTGTGATCTCTGCCTGTCAAATAAATAAATAAAATCTTAAAAAAAAAAAAATGTCTTACTGGGAATGAGTTTAACTATGACAAGCTCATATTCTAACTCTTAGGGCATTTTCTTCTTGCTCTGATAGTGATTTCATTAGATTTGGGAACATGGGACGCCTGGGTGGCTCAGTTGGTTGGACTACTGCTTTCGGCTCAGGTCATGATCCCGGAGTGCCGGGATCGAGTCCCGCATGGGGCTCCCAGCTCCAAGGGGAGTCTGCTTCTCCCTCTGACCTTCTCCTCGCTCATGCTCTCTCTCATTGCCTCACTTTTAAATAAATAAATAATTAAAAAAGAAAAAAAAGATTTGGGCACATTTGTAATCAGGTATGAAGGCCCCCTCTGTCAAAGGTGTTTCAGCAAAGATAATAATTAAAGGTTTATAAACTAAACTTCAGGTTGAGAAAAGAACACCTATTTTTTTTAAAAAGTTGTTTATTACTAGGGGCTCCTGGCTGGTTCAGCCAGTAGAGCATGCAATTCTTTGTCTTGGGGTAGTGAATTCAAGCCCCACCTTTGGGTATGAGATTACTTAAAAATAAAATCCTTAAGGGACACCTGGTTGGCTCAGTCAGTTGAGCCTCTACCTTTGGCTGGGGTCATGATCCCAGCGTCCTGGGATCGAGTTTTGCATCAGCTCCTTCCTCAGTAGGGAGCCTGCTTCTCTCTCTGCCTCTGTCTGCCACTCTGCTTGTGCACTCTCTCTGACAAAAAAAAAAAATCTTAAAAAATAAAAATCCTTTAAAAAAAAAGTTGCTTATTACAACCTTATGAGACCATTAATGTCAGGCTGAAACGCTAGTCAGTTAAAATGATTTAGATTTCCCGGTTTACATTTCCCCGTTTCTTCTATGTAAAAGGTGACTTTACTGCTTCCTCAATTCTTTACAGAAAAAGTAAAGAACATCTTGTTTTTGCATGTGGGGAGGAAGTATTTCAATTATGAACTATAAATATATATAGCTGGAAAGTGTTATTTCTAATGTTTTAAACCACTTGGGTTAGATAAAGACATATTTGTGTTGTTTTTGAGTACTTGTACAGGGTTTTTTATAATTATAAATTTAGTGAGTGCTTCATTTGTGTAAGGCACTACTCTTACAAGTGACTTGGGCTTCATACTCTTTCTTACATTATTTACCTAAGTATTAGAAACCATTGCTTTTATTTTTTTTATTATTTTAAAAAAGATTTTATTTATTTATTTGACAGACAGAGATCACAAGTAAGCAGAGAGGCAGTCTCCCCGCTGAGCAGAGAGCCTGGCTCCCCGCTGAGCAGAGAGCCCTAGGCAGGGCTCTATCCCAGGACCCTGAGACCAGGACCCCAGCAGAAGGCAGAGGCTTTAACCCGCTGAGCCACCCAGGCACCCCAGAAACCATTGCTTTTAGATATATCACTATCACCAGGTTATAAGCCAAATACAAATAAGAAAAATAATTAGTTTCATCCTCTGGATTATATAAGTAAATATGAAATTTGAAATATGTGTTAATTCAACTCCAGGGGAAGGATGAAGTTAAACATTAACCTAATGAAAATTTTTTGCTAGTGAAAATATGAAAACCTGATGATGGGGTCCCTGGGTGGCTGTCGGTTAAGCATCTGCCTTTGGCTCAGGTAATGATCTGGGATTGAGCCCTGTATTAGGCTCTCTGCTCTGCGGGCAGTCTGCTTCTCCCTCTCCCTTTGCTCCTCCACTCCCCCCACCCCCGCTTGTGCTCTCTCGCTCTCAAATAAATACGTAAAATCTTTTTTAAAAAAAGAAAATATGGGGGTGCCTGGGTGTCTCAGTGGGTTAAAGCCTCTGCCTTTGGCTCAGGTCATGATCCCAGAGTCCTGGGATCAACCCCACATTGGGCTCTCTGCTCAGCGGGGAGCCTGCCTCTCTGCTTACTTGTGATCTCCGTCTGTCGAATAAATTAAAAAAAACAAACAAACAAGAAAATATGAAAACATGGATAACAGCAATGCTTGTTCGCTTTGCCTTTGCTTATGTTTTTCACATGGCTTAAATATTAGATATTAAAAAGCCAATCATGGGGGCGCCTGGGTGGCTCAGTGGGTTAAAGCCTCTGCTTTCGGCTGGGGTCGTGATCCCAGAGTCCTGGGATCGAGCCCGGAATCGGGCTTTCTGCTCAGCGGGGAGCCTGCTTCTTCCTCTCTCTCTGCCTGCTTCTCTGCCTACTTGTGATCTCTCTCTGTCAAATAAATAAAATCTTAAAAAAAATAATAATAAAAATAAAAAATAAAAAAATAAAATAAAAATAAAAAGCCAATCATGGGTTCCTTTGAACCATGACTGACATTTCTTTTCTTTTTTTAAAAGATTTAATTATTGGGGCGCCTGGGTGGCTCAGTGGGTTAAACTTCTGCTTCCGACTCAGGTCATGATCTCAGGGTTCCAGCCCCGCAGGGCTCTCTGCTCAGCGGGGAGCCTGTTTCCTCCTCTCTCTCTGCCTGCCTCTTTGCCTACTTGTGATCTCACACTCTGGGTCAAATAAATAAATAAGATATTAAAGAAATAATTAAAAAAATAAAGATTTAATTATTTATTTGCCAGAGAGACAGAGGGAGACCCCAAGCAGAGAAAGAAGCGGGCTCCCTGTGGAGCAAGGAGCCCTATACAGGGCTTACTCCCAGACCTGGGATGATGACCTGAGCGGAAAGCAGACACTTAACTGGCTGAGCCATCCAGGTGTCCCTCGACTGACATGATTTCTTAAGGTATGTTTGACCTTTGTTTTGCTTATCTTTGTGGCATGTAGCCTGATTAACAAGGCGATAGTAAAAGATACATTTTTTAAGATTTTATTTTTAAGCTTTTTCCTCCCCAAAACTCTATTTATTTGAGAGAGAGAGAGAGAGAGCACAAGCAGTAGGAAGAGGCAGAGGGAGAGGGAGAAGCAGACTCCCTGCTGAGCAGAGAGCCCACTGTGGGGCTAATCCTAGTACCCCAGGATCATGACCAGAGCCAAAGGCAGGCGCTCAACTGACTGAGCCACCCAGGCTCTCCCAAGACTTTATTTTTAAGTAATCTCTACACCCAAGGTAGGACTCAAACTTACAACCCTGAGATCTCATGCTCCACCAACCGAGCCACCCAGGTGCCCCAGATACGATTTTTTTAATATGGTAAGATAAAGGCTTTTGAGTCTCTTGCTAACCCAAGCTGTTAAGTTACCTGAAGGTTTTCTCAAGACAAGGGAGAAGTATATGGCATATGTGTATAGTTTGCTTCTGTATGATTTGATTGGCCTGTTTGTAAATTGAATCATTACTTAAGAATTGAGAATTAGCACTTCCGGGATGCCTGGGTAGCTCAGGCTTTAAGCATCTGCCTTCTGCCCAGGTCATGATCTCAGGTCCTGGGATCTGAGTCTCAGATCGGGCTCTAGTCCTACATTGGGCTTCCTGCTCAGTGGGAAGCTTGCTTTTCCCTCTCCCACTCCCCATGCTTGTGTTCTCCTCTCACTGTGTCTCTCTCTGTCAAATAAATAAATAAAATATTTTTTAAAAAGTAAAATAATAAAAAAGAATGATCACTTCCAGTAGATAGTAAAGTACAACCGAATATGATAATTTCTAATAGTCTCTTAGATGTACCTAATTTACCAAAGGAAAAAAATATATTTACCTGATGCTCTTCTAGGGAATTATGATACTGAAAGTGTGAAGGCGCTTAGTTTCTTATTCTGTTTCAAAACATCAACATTTTTATTTGGAATGATTATTGCGAAGAGCAGTATGTCTTTTTTATCCAAGAACTTGAAACGTACCTGGAATTTACCAGTGCACGGGCCCATTTTAGAATGTCATTTCTTAAAATAATCCACTAATGTTTTGAACATTTTCATCATTTGGTTTCTCTCTCTGCTAAAGAACAATTACATCCTAATTTGGCATAGGATCCCTCTGAGCTGAAACCTGCGGGGGCCAGTAGCAATTAAACAGTTCTTTAATGCTCCTTCCCTACCCCTGTAACAGCACCTAGCAAGACGCCAAACTCTTATAACATATCTCATTAGAAATTCACAGTTCTGGGGCACCTGGGTGGCTCAGTGGGTTAAAGCCTCTGCCTTCGGCTCAGGTCATGATCCCAGGGTCCTGGGATCCAGCCCCACATTGGGCTCTCTGCTCAGCAGGGAGCCTGCTTCCCTTCCTCTCTCTGCCTGCCTCTGTGTCTACTTGT